TCAATTCAATTATCATAACTGGTCCTTGACTGGGCATCAGAGTGCCAATGACAAACAACCACCTGAATTGTGTCGGGAGGTTGGCTTGCTAGCTGTAAGAGTGGTTAGAGTAAAATTTCAATTTACTCATAATGATTGATTTAGAATTTTGTGAGTTCAAGTGATCAATTTTGTAAATGCAACCATCATTTTATTGCAATTTTCCCATTTTTTTCTATAAATAACTTACAAGAAAAATATGAGTGGTAGTCCTCTAGGACGGACCCTACCCGCTTGTAGCTGCTTCGCTGCTCCTTCCCTACCGACCATTAATTCAGCCCCAGGATTGGGCTGGATATCGCATGTGCCACGTTTACCTTTTTTTTTTTGGTTGGTTCCTGAGCCAACCTATCCACCAAATGAATGGTATCAAATTTCTATACAGTACATATATATAGACACACACACGTATTCCCTTCATTTTATATTATAATTAAGACGATTTGTAATGTATAAAATATTGTGTTTCAATTTTTAAGTCTATCGAAGAATTTTTATACGCAACTAATGTGTTTTTGGCCAAAAATGTTCATCTTTTGCAGGAAGAGGAAGCAACAGGTCAAGAACTATCATAATTATCCTCATTGTTCTAGCCGTTGCATTTATCATAACTCTCTCCTCCATCTACACCTACTCTTGAATAAGAAATCAAGAAAAACTATTGAAAGTAAGTCAAGGCAATGTTTCCAATTCCATTACCGTTATATATATATATATATATACACACACACATATACACACACAGAGTTTCAATCCTTAATATAAGAGCTCGTTTGATTTTTATTTTAATACTAAATATAAAACCTAATTCACTTTGTCTCTCATATTTATTCTTTTTTTTAAAGGTAGTCCTTATAATAATCATAGTTCTAACCAATATAGTTAACTAGTAAAGATATTTTAGGAAATATAACACCTATTTATTATAAATAACTAAATTAGTCTTTTAATCTACTCAAATTAGTCAAATAGTTCTTATATTAATGATCAGAGGTAGTATTTTGGAAATTATTACGTTGGCACAAGATCGAGTCCAATCATATGGTTTGTTTTTCATGTTCTTGTCAACTCAAAGGAAAAGGTAGACATAAACAAAAACCTATAAATGATCAAAGGCTAAAGTCGTTTTAAAATTTGTCGTCCCAGCAGTTAGGAGTGGTAATATGGGTCAATCCATAAGTTGGACCCATATGGGTGGGGTTCAAAAGGGTTGTTTGAAGGCTGGTTGGCCTGCCAAGGTGAGTTGGTGGGTTGGCCCCCCAACCTGCAAATAATTATTTACTTTTTTTAAAAAAATTCTGTCTTTTAATATTTTTTATTTAATATCCCAGAAATTATAACGAGATTTTTATTTTTTTCTTGAAATATTTGATTGAAAGCACCAAATAAATTATATAGGTATATTGCTTAATTTTTTAGATAGAATATAATATATAATAACATAATTATAATAATTTTAGGAAATTTTTTTAAAAAATGCGAGTCAGCCCGCTAACCGCAGAGGGTTGCGAATCTAGTCGTGTGGGTTGAAAAGATTTATTTACTGACGAGTTGACTTTTAGTTAATCTTAACCTTTCATTTTGACTGGTTAGACCTGTGGATTTAACCCATATTAGTAGTTCTACCAGTGGTGAGCTGAGGATGTTAGCTCATGATGGATGATATATACTATGGTGATAAAAGGATAGTAGTGTGCTGAAACGAATAATAAATTTAAAATATTTCCTTTAGATTTTATAAATTTTTCAAGCATTGGTCCATGAGTTTTTCTGTTCCTTTTTGTTTTTTTAGTAAAATAAAAGCAAGAGTTACTCCTATTACGTTGGGGAAAAAAATTCAAAACAAAATAGCTTTGGCAATATTATAACTTCAAATAACTTAAAGATGATCCTTTGAAGAACTAATCGATCTCTCTCCTCCACAGTTGAACTTGAAGTTACCCAAGATGAAATCATGCCGATTGAGTCATTGCAATTCAACTTTCATACCATCAGACTTGTGACAGATAACTTTTCTATTGAAAACAAACTTGGAGAAGGAGGATTTGGGCTTGTGTATAAGGTACACTAATAGTTATATATATATATATATATTTGTGTGTGTGTGTATAAAATTATAATAAAAAACTATATTGTCATTTGACTAAGAGGTTTATGTATAGCTATCAAAGAAGTAACAGCATGTCCTAACTTCAATAAATGCAGGGTAGACTCTCCAGTGGAAGAGAAATAGCTGTTAAAAGGTTGTCCATGGATTTTGGGCAAGGAGATTCAGAATTTAAGATTGAAGTATCGTTGGTGGCCAATCTTCAACACTATAATTTATTGAAATTACTTGGTTTCAGTTTAGAAAGAAAAGAAAGGTTACTTGTCTATGAATTTCTTCCCAATAAGAGTCTTGACTACTTGCTATTTGGTAATCATTTAATTCTTACTTTAGAGTAATATGAATTATGTTTATATTGAAACTCTAAATGGGCTTGAAATTATGATAGATCCTATCAAACGAACTCATTTGAATTGGGAAACACGGTACAAAATCATAGGCGGTATTGCTCGTGCGTTCTTTATCTTCATGAGGATTCAAGATTACATATTATTTATCATGATCTCAAAGCAAGTAACATTCTTTTAGATAAAGAGATGAATCCTAAAATATCAGATTTTGGTATGGCAAAACTCTTCTCCATAAATCAAACCCAAAGCAATACGAGTAGAATTGTTGGAACCTAGTAAGTATATTACTGATGACCTTAAACTAATGATTTGAGATTTAATGATATCTATGTTTGATTAACCTTGTGCATACTAACACGCAGCGGATATATGGCACCAGAATATGCAATGCACAGACAATTTTCAATCAAATCAGATGTTTTTAGTTTTGGTGTATTAGTTTTAGAGATTGTAAGTTGAAAGAGAAACAATATCAACTTTCATGAGGAGAAAGCCCATGATCTATTAAGCTTTGTAAGTCCGTTTTTTTTCACATAAGGTATGTCAACCTAGCTCCTTTTGATCTTATATTCTTGCATAAGTGTACATATTCTGAGATTAAGTATATATGCTGTAATAGCTTGCTAACATATTGTTTACTATTGATGATAAACTTCTTGCAGGCATGGAAAAATTGGAGGGAAGGGACAGCCTCAAATATAGTAGATTCATTATTAAATGATGGGTCAAGAAAGGAAATGATAATATACATCCACATTGGTTTACTCTACGTTTAAGAAGATATAGCAGATAGGCCCACCATGGCTAACGTTGTACTTATGCTCAGCAACCACTCACTCTCTCTCTCGTTACCTTCACAACCTGCATTTTTAAAGAATTATAGAACTTTACTAGAGATGTATTATTCGGGGGAGGCTAGTTTGGGAATAATAAGATCCACTAAACAAGATACTACTAGCTCCACTAAGCTACATGTTCGTTTTTCTAATTTTGCCACATTACTTTTGTTCAAGACTTTCTACGCAAGATCCATTGTTCATCTTTGTTATTTGTTGTAATTTAGGATTAAGTTGTATTTAATCCTGTTTTATTGTTCACTGCTGGCTAAATAGAACTCATCAGTGATTCAGTCGCCATTTTCTCTCACTTATACAGACATTTCACTTGCATCAAAATCTCTCATCACTCCTCCCGTTTTATGCTCTGTTGGGCTACCATTTGGTAAACATGCTAGTCATGAGGTATCTGACTGAATTGTTAACTATGCAAGTTGTTGAAGTTAATGCTTTTGTTTACACACAAACACACACACACACACACACATAAATGTATTTATATATGAAAATGAAGATTTTAGGTGGCTAGATAAAGTTAATTAAGGGCCAACAAATTAATTAAGCATAGAGAGACAAATGTAACTATATTTAATGTAAGCATGTTTTCATTTTTTTTTTGTTTTTCAATCCTCTTTCCTTGAATGCTTCCCGGATTCTGGAAAGGTAATTCATCTAGTAATTCCACAATAAAGGCTGGCTATCGAACCTTATCTACAACCATAGACTCTTCAAATTTCAATGGGTTTTGGAAATTCCTTTGGTCTATCTCCCATTCCTTCCAAGCATCTTTTGTTTATTTGGAAACTACTTAACAGGGCTATTCCTTCCTATGATATCCTCTTCTTTCACCATCTAAACGTTTCAGGGAACTATAGCCTTGCTTGTGACCTACCAAAAACCATTGATCATATATTCATAAATTGCCCTTTCACCCGAGCAATTTAGCTTGGAAGCTTATCCATTCAGTTTAATGTCACAGATTTTGACTCCTTTAAAACTTGGTTAGTTAATACACTACAAAATCTTAATATACGAAGCCACCAACAACTTCATGAGATTATCATTGTTATTAACACAATTTAGAGGTTGAGAAACCGAGTTATTCATGAGTCAAAGATTCTGAACCTGGTTATTTGCTTACGAGAAATAAAAAGATCCTCCTCTCTTTTTTTCCTAGCCTTCAGTATAGGGAACAAGGCCAAAACTTCCATGCAAGGAAAGATAGAATTCCATTGGCCTTCGTAGCAATCAACTCTGCTACCCAGCATAGATACATGGGAAATCATATTTCAAAAGCACAAAAGTCTGAAAGAAAGACAACTTGCAGTGCATGGATCAACCTCAACAACCACTGCTTACTCTGTCTCACATGGAAAAAAGCCAAGATTGACTCTCCTCACTTTCTATGCATGTCTGGTTATATGCATGTTCTGAAGTTGAAACAAGGAGAAATGGGCAGGATAAATATTTGCCCCTCGTAAGACAACTTTTGGAAATGTAGCGAGAAACTTCACTTATTTCGTGATAAAAGCTTCTTATATAATACACATACAATCAATATATACTATATCCATCAACATATACCTCCTTCTATAACGCTTTTGATTGGCATGCACATGCAAGAACAAAAATCTAGCGAGGATATAGCTCCGTAATTGATAGATCATTTCATGATGATTGATTAGAGTTTCTTCCTCGTTCACTTGCCCTTGTGGCCTCTAAACTATTATGTCTCAAAGTCATCATCTCAGATGAACTGCTATAATTCACAAGAAATCGACGTTTTGAAGGCACAGGGAGAGAGGAAGAGAAACTATTCAGCATAAATGAGACTGAGGCCATAGTTGGTTGATCAGCTGTATTTTCTTGAATGCATAGCAATGCAATGTGAATACATCTCATTATTTCATTTCTTGAACCATTGCTTATCACAGGATCTACTATATTTGAGGTTGTCCCTTCCTTCCAATTTTTCCATACCTGAAAACATTGTTCATTTATGGCAAAGAATATTAGTCTTGAGCTACTTTTTCAATTGTATATATGTTAGATGTTATATATATATATATAGAGGACATAAATGTAATTCTCTACTTTTGAGAGGGAAGAAGCATAGACTTACAAAACTTAATAGGTCCAGATGATGCTGTGTATTCTCTACATGAAAGGTGCAGCTGTTTTTCTTGCCACTTATAATCTCTAGAACCAATACGCCAAAACTATATACATCTGATTTTACTGAACATTGACCGTATAGGACATATTCTGGGGCCATATAACCACTGCTTATTAAAATGAATAAATTTAGTTTGATATAGTAGTTATTAATAGTCTTGTAGCTTTCAACCACTGAAGTCATCATTACTTATCAAGTTGCCACAATTCTATTAGTATTGCTTCGAGTTTGATCTGCCTTAAATAGTCTCGCAGTGCCAAAATTTGATATCTTAGGATTTAATTCATCATCCAAGAGAATATTGCTTGCTTTAAGATCACGATGGATAATATGTAATATTGAATCTTGATGAAGATAAAGTAGACCACGAGCAATGCCCCTTATAATCTTGTATCGTACTATCCAATTCAAAAAAGCTTGCTGATTTGGATTTGCAAAATTTCTTGTTATATTCTTACCAGTTTAATGCTATGATGTGTTAAAACTATACGTGACTAAAATATGGATTCTCATTCAAACAATAAAAACAAAGTGATAGATATCCAAACTGTGTTACTTACCGAATAAAAAGAAATCAAGACTTTTATTAGCAAGAAATTCATAAATAAGTAGTCTTTCTGTTTTTTCTAAACAGAAACCACGTAATCTTACTAAATTCCGATGGTGAAGTTTTGCTACCAACATCACTTTAGTCTTAAATTCTAAATCTCCTTGCCTAGAATGCCTAGACAACATTTTCATAGCAACTTCTTGTCCATCGGGAAGCCGACCTTGCATTTATTTATTAGAATGTAATCCATGAACACATACACACTCTTTTTTTCTCTTCTTCACTTTCAACAATATAATGATGCTATGAACTTCCAAGTAACAAATTTATTATACCTTATACACTGGCCCAAATCCTCCTTGTCCAAGTTTATTTGCATCAGAGAAGTTATCAGTTGCGAGCTTGATGGTGTTATAATCGATTTGCAGAATCTTAGCTGGTTTAGTTTCATCATCATCCTTTGTTGTAGCTTCAAGTAAGAAAGAGCAAGTCATGAGTTCTTCAAATAGCATGAAGTACAAAGGTCGATTCAAACTCCCCTCATTTTGTTTTGCCGAAAAATCTCAACATAAAAATGTCTTGTGTTTTTTTTTGCCAAAAAGGTTTCATCAATCGAAATTATATTTAACATTCATAAAGAATTTTTCCCAGCTGAAAGAATAAGAAATTCATTTAGGCGATAATGGCACCAATCAGTACAACCACAACAATGGTAGTTGTTGATTTATTACTACTTCCTGCAAAATCAAAGTCAAATTTGCAGAGAGAACTCATTGACATTATGTTGCTCGATTATACAAACAACCTCAAAAACAAAATGACATTTTTTTTAATTTCATGATTTTACTTAATAATATATTCATGACTAAATTTTATATTCAAAACTTCATCTAAAGAAACTTAAAGTGAATCTTGTGCATTACACAGGGAATTTAATGGGGTTATGAAAAACGTATCATGTTGAAGTTGTGTAATTTATATTTTTGGATGATTTTATGTTCAAACTATATTACTAGAATAAGAATGAGTATATTTTGTTGAAGATGTAGGTTTTGGAAAATCAGGAACTCCTGGGATGTCACACAAAAGAAGTTTTATATTTCCTCTTCATGCTTATCCGATGCGATCACAGGAATTAATAGTAGGTTAAATTTTTCATAGTGAACACCATACACATAAGGCTATTAGTTTTAGAGAGATACCTTGTGGGGAAGTAGTATTTGTTGATGGAAGAAGAGTATAGGGGAGAGTTATTTTTCTTAAATCGACAAGTACAAGATCATAGAATAAGAAATTCTCAAATCTAATATTGCAGTTCAATTTGATGACCCTCCCACCGACCTTATTCTGACAACATTTTGGGATATTAAAAATAGAATCCTTCAAACAATCAAAGCAATCTTGCCTATTCAAATCAGGGGTGCACTGAACAAGGCCATACATGACTTGTGATTGATCAGCTGATGCGTTTACCGCAACCACCTTATGATAAGAGTCACCATCCGCAACCTTGTCTCTTAGAGTTTGCATTAGAACTTCAAGTGCAACGTTGTATTTGCTTGCATCTGTTGCATTAGTATCGCTACTATTACAGTTGTAAAAGTCATGGTCCTGGTAAATCCTAAACATTTGACGACTTGAGTATCGAAACATGCATAAATCATAGTATCCAAATGCCTCCTTCTGATATGGACATAGCTTTGGGAGAAGGATTCTGGCATTATTGAGGCAATTACGACAAGAATCTAGCTTCACATCTCCTCTGCACATTCCAAGTACGTTAAATGTGTTGGGGCTTTCACCATAGGAGGAATTATAGAAGCCAGAGTCAGTTTTGGTGTCAGAGGTGAAATTAGAAAGAAGGGTATTGAGGTTGGTCTGGTAGGCACTTGGTTTTGTGTAGTTAGCACTTTCACTGAAGCACATGTAAAAGTAGAAGTCAGGTTGGGCGGTAAGAACAAGAAGATGAGAAATGAGAGAGTTAGAGCCAAGAAAAAAGCAACTGTAGTTGTCATCAAGGAATGAATGAAATCTAACAAATGAGATTTGAGTGTGGAGCTTAGGATGCAGCAATCTAAGCTTCCTAGTACAATAATATCCTCAATATAAAACACAGTATAGTTGACAAGTCTGAAGATAAGATTCCAATATTCCTAGGAATACAAGTTGACAAGTCTAAGATAGGAATTTCTAGGAATACAGGTCTTCGAGGGGTTATTTGATTTCTCCATTCACACTGTGGTTTTTCCAAGTGGCCAACCACCATGTGCAAGTTGGGACGTTTTAACATTCCACATATGTGATGCTTTTCAGGAACTTAATCTTTTTAGAATTTGTACTGGGGCCAATTTAGTGTTTTGACTTTTCTTTCATTCTTTTTAGGTAGAAAACCATATAGAGTTTTCTTTTGTTTTTTTTTAAAAGAAAAATGGTAGGAGTATTTTTTTTACTGGTAAAATATATGGTTGAGACTAAGCTTAAATAGGAGCTAGACTTTGGCGAGACTGAAACAGTTGACCAAATTAACGTGAAAGAAACTTCAAATTAAAGAAAGTGACTAATTTCTCAAAGATAATCCTCTTTTATACTTCAAATTAAACAATTTTTTCCATTCTCTTTCTCAAAGATAGCCTTCTCTGTGTCCTGGGTTGGAGCTCTGCTGTTGGTTCACGGTCTTCTTTAACATTGTTGTCTTTTTTGCCATTACAAGCCTCCCTCCATTGTTGCCTTCTCTTATTTCAAGGTTGGAGCTTAGCACTGTTGTGGGTTATTCTTACATGGACAAAATGTTCATCCTTTTTTTTTTTAATGTTTTGTTTACTTTTCCTCATTTTTGGAAATGGATTAATCTTTAGTCCCATATGCTTCAATTTCTTAAGATTCTTAACAATGGCTTCCCTAGTTTTCATATGGTAATCATCATTTTAATATAAGCATATTTTTTAATAATTTTATTTCAATAGAATCATGTTTGGCATAATTATGCAAATAGTCTCCATAGTAATAATTATTCTTTAAAATTGGGAATCTAGAATATTAATCCTTTATCCTACTTCTTTATTACTCCATATATTACACGTGATGTGTGAAACAAAATGAAACTGAACCATGGAAAATTCAAAAAGCAACATTTATTGTGTCACATAAAATCTGTAATTCACACACAAGACCAAGCCTAGATTTCTATAGAGATCTAGCAAATTGTTCACTAATTGAGGCCTTTTTTTTATGCTTGTTGAGAAGAGTTATGTACTCCCTCTCCTTCATCTTCCTCTCCGGTTTGCATCTCAAGCGTGCTGCTGAAATTCATTAAGCATGGAGGTTGTGAAGGTAAAAGGAGAGATGAAGAGTAGCTATTTAGCATGAGTTCAATAGAAGCCATGGTAGGCCTGTCTGCTACGTTTTCTTGAACACACAGTAACGCGATGTGAATGCATCTCATTATTTCATCCCTTGAACCATTGCTTATCATAGGATCTACTATATTTGAGGCTATCCCTTCCCTCTAGTTTTTCCATACTTGCAAGAAGTTCCTCATTATTCCCAAGTTACTTTTACAATTTTGTGTGATAGCTAGTTATAGCATCCATATATATAATCTTATCATTCTCTACTTTTGACAATTGAAAATATATACATAAAGAAGGTAGATACTTACAAAGCTTAAAAGATCTTGTATATCCTCCTCATCAATCATGCTACTATTCTTTTGGCCACTTAAAATTTCAAGAGTACACCAAAACTAAAGACATCTAATTTTGTTGATATTTGTCCATCTATTGCATATTCTGGTGCCATCTATTCACTGTTTGTCAATATAAAAAATCTTAATTAGACAAAGATGATATTAAATCCAATAATTTGTTAGGTACGGTGTTAATAATTGTAAGTAGTACTTACTAAGTTCCAACAACTTTGCTTGTAGGGTTATGAGTTTGATCTAAAGCAAATAGCCTCGCCATGCCAAAATCTGCTATTTTTGGATTTAGATCTTTATCTAGAAGAATATTACTTGATTTAAGGTCATGGTGAATAATAAGTAATCTTGAATCTTCATGCAGGTAAAGAATGCCACGAGTAATGCCTACTATAATTTTGTATCGCACTTCCCAATGCAAATGAGTTTGTTGAATTGGATCTGTATAATAAAGGTCAATCCTACGTCTATGATCTCTTAAATCTATCTATGTCTATAATATCACTTCCACTTTTACCCAATGTAAGTGAAGAATAAAGATAATATATATAAATCAAAATCATTCTTAATGTAATCAAGACTTCTGTTGGGAAGAAACTCATAAATGAGTGGCCTCTCAGTTCGTTCTAAACAGAAACCAACTAATCTTACTAAATTGCGATGTTGAAGTTTGGCCATCAATAACACTTCGTTTTTGAATTCTAAGAATCCTTGCCCTGAATTCATGGACATTATTTTGACAGCAACTTCTTGTCTATTACGGAGCCTACCCTGTATTTATTAAAGTTTGGACATGTAATTAATAGCACGCCAATTTTTCTAGACAATGTGATTTTATTTGTCTTGATCTAACATTAATGTGATTACATACCTTATATACTGGCCCAAATCCTCCTTGTCCAAGTTTATTTGCAACAGAGAAGTTATCTGTAGCGAGTCTGATGGTTTCAAAGTCAAATTGCAACAAATCAGCCGGGTTAATGTCTTCGTCATCCATTATTTCTGTCTAAGTGACATTCATAAATAAAATTAAAGGCCTTGTAATATATAAATATTATAATTAAATGTTTAATTTGTCCAAAATAAGCAAGAAACTCTTTCTTTCCCCCTATATCACTGTCAGTCATGAGGGACCATAACCAATGTAAAACCCTTAACCTTAAAAACATTATAACCCGTCATAAAACCACTACTATGGTAGAAAAGGAAAGCTGTTAAAATGAGTTACCAAAGTAGAAGAAAAATTTCATATTTTTAGAAATTGACTTTCAAACTCGGGTCAACCCGTAATCTGTTGCATGCAACTAAAAATCATTCATTTACATCTACTAGGCCTCCAAGCCTCCGGCCCGGGTAACAACAAACATCACATCAGCCCATCTAAATGATTCCCAACCAAATAATCCAGAGTTCATAAAACACTAGCAATGGCCTTCGGCCAACCAAAATAAGGAGATACATTCTCTCCAGTTTACAACAAGGCCGGGTAATCAAATATATCAAAAAGTAGTCCTAACTGTGGCAATATATACTAGTCATACATATACAAATGCTAGAGGCCTAAAGCTAACCAAGCTCAAGCCTCTGCGTCTCTTCCCGATGGCCCACGCCCAGAACCTTCACCTGAAAACATTGTAAACCACGGGGTGAGACGGAGTCCCAATAACCAACCTTTCCAATACTAGGTACTACTAAATAGATACTTGTGAGGTGTCAAGTGGGGGCAATTCACAAATAATATAATAACAAGAAAGCCACAACAATTCATAAGAGTGAAACGATGCAATTCCCATCAACCCTATCCCTCACTTTAGGGGATTTTCAAGAGCTGAAGCCAGCCTATCCCTCACTATGGGGGACGTAAGGAGCCATAAAAGGCCTATCCCTCACTCTGGGGGACGTAGGGAGCCAAAAAGGCCTATCCCTCACTATGGGGGACGTACTAAGCCAACCATCATGCATTAATGGAGGCCTTACCACGTGGTAGTAACAGACAAAACTCTCACCAATTCCCAATTAATGCATCATGCTCAAATCATAATCAAAGAATAATAATCATTTCACAATTAACCTCATTCAGTGGCATATCCTTCACAATTCCAAAATTCATTCATCATTAGTCAAAATCCCACAAGACGTTTTTCCTTTTTATACACAACATACAGTTTGAACATAATTACTACTTAGAGCACAAAACATAGATCTACTCACAATACCACAGAAGCAAGTACTAAGGATTGGAAAGTGGTTACCTCTCGCCTGAGCAAGGAACAACAAACCAACGATGTGGCCCCGTGCACCACCAAAACTCACAACTGGTCTACACAAGCACACAAACACACAACCATCATACATTAGCTTTCAAACTAATAATGTGGCCAAAACAACACTTGGGGACACAAAATTCCTATCTCCCATCAAAACTCTACCCAATTCAAAGGGTATAACTATCAAGGCAACACTCTAAAGTCATACCAATCCATTAAAACCTTAATTCCTTTCCAAACATCAATTAAAAATTCAAACCTCAAGGACCCACTATGGAATTCTACACCCAAACATCCCATTTGAGCAATTAAGGTTCCAACAACAATTCTAAACCGATTATACATCCAATTTAACCCTCCTTAACATAACCTAATTCACAAAACTCAGAATCAACCTCTACATTGTCATCCTCAATCCCAAATCATCTATTTCCATAAACCCTAACTCCAAAAATTCAAGATTCTTTAAATCCAAGAAAACTACACCGATTAAATACTTTAACTAACCCAATGCAATCAATTAAACTCAAAACAATCGGTCAAAAACCTCAGTTCCAACACAACCTAGAAAATCCTAGGATTCCACCAAAATTCCTCAGAAATTCCAAGAAATTCCAAGAAAGAAAGAAGATTAGAGGTTAAAATCACTTACTTGAGGTAATGGATCCTTAGAAATGTCTTTCCCAAGCCTCAAAACCGAAACCCTAGCAGAGCTCCTCTCTCCTCCTTCAGATTTTCTAATTTTTGCACAACTGAACCCTCCAGCGACTATATAGATTCGGGACCTTTCGCCGCGGCAAACTAATCCCGAGAGGGATTACTCGCCTGAAAACCCGACTTCGCCGCAGCGAACTCCAATATTCGCCGCGGCGAAAGCTTCCCGAGAGGAAACTCTCGCTCGCCCAGAAGAACTTCGCCGCGGCGAAACCTTCCCGAAAGGGAAGCCTCGCTCACCTGAACAA